CTCCTGTAGACCAAGCGAGGTAGTCAACATCTCCCAGGGTTCTAACCCACGACCTCCTGTAGACCAGGCGAGGTAGTCAACATCTCCCAGGGCTCGAACCCACGACCTCCTGCAGACCAGGCGAGGTAGTCAACATCTCATAGCCACCGTGGCGCCGGGAGGGAGGGAGGTGATGGTTACAGCCGGATAATGTGGAAGTGAAAAACACGAAAAGTAGACTTTAAAAATAGCAAGGACATGAACTGCGTTAAATTTCGATTTAAAGCTTTCGTGACTGCAGGGATTCATCTTCTTGATTCTTTCGGTAAAGTCACGTAGAAGGGAAGTAATAAAATAAGTGTATAGTGTAGTGTATAGTGTAGTGTATAGTGTAGTGTATAGTGTAGTATGTAGTGTATAGTATAGTGTGTAGTGACTAGTGTAGTGTATAGTGTAGTGTATAGTAGTGTAGTGTATAGTGTAGTGTATAGTGTAGTGTATAGTGTAGTATAGTAGCGTAGTGTATAGTGTATAGTAGTGTAGTGTATAGTGTAGTGTATAGTAGTGTAGTGTATAGTAGTGTAGTGTATAGTAGTGTAGTGTATAGTGTGTAGTGTATAGTGTAGTGTATAGTGTGTAGTGTATAGTGTAGTGTATAGTGTGTAGTGTATAGTGTAGTGTATAGTAGTGTATAGTACATAGTGTAGTGTATAGTGTATAGTAGTGTATAGTGTATACTAGATGAGGGGGGGGGGGGGTGACCGCTTCGAGCGCTGTAACTTCGCTCGCAAGAGGCCGATTCAGCTCCCTCTCTGCGCCTATCTCGTAGCGCGCCGTCCCGCGGAGACGGCGGCGGGGTTGTCGGCCGCGTCCGCCGGCGTCTTCACGCTTAGATCGGCCCGCGAAGCGATGACCCTTATTTTGACAAAGCGTCGCCATCGCAAGCCTGCTGTTTAAAGCTGGCCCGGTGATGCGTTGCATTTTTTATTAAATTAACGATCAAAACACTGCTACGCTTTCGCACGGCGCTTAGGCGAGTTTAACTTCCCCTCACGTTTTGTTGTTTTTAATTTTAAAAAATATCATTTTTGTAATTCTTCACAAACAAAATGTCAAGTACAGACGGAGAGACTCACTCGGCGCGAGACGACATCTTGGGCTGGAGGTCACGTGAGTGGTGCTGGGGGGCGGGGCTGTGTGGGGTGGTCACGTGACAGCGGGGGACAGAGGGGAGGGGCTGCACGTGTTGCTGTGGGTGGCGAGGGGGGTCGCGGGGGGGGAGGGGTCACGTGACAGCGGGGGAACAGAGGGGAGGGGCTGATCACGTGTCTGTGGGGAGGGGATGTGGGGGTGAACGATCACGTGACAGCGGGGGAACGGTGAGGGGAGGGGCTGGTCACGTGTCTGGGGGGTTGTGGGGGGTCACGTGCAAGTGGGGGAACGGTGAGGGGAGGGGCTGGTCACGTGGTTGTTGTTGTTGTTGTTTAGCAAATGCATCAATGGCCCAATAAACTTGGATTTAAAGCTTTCGTGACTGCAGCAGGGATTCATCTTGTTGGTTCTTTCGGTAAAGTCATCACGTAGAAGGGAAATAGTAAAATAATAAAAATAAAACATAACAAAATACAATTCTCACGACGTTTCGGCCACAACGCAAGCAGCCGTCCTCAGGTGAAGAACAGGTCTGTCGGGAAGACAGCGTCTGAATGAAACACCATCCAGGCTTGGCAGCGTATATTTAAGCTGCTGGGTTGGTGGGGGAAGAGCGCCTTGACAAAGGAATTTGCATATCAAGATGAATTTTGCATATTTATGGGAAATGCAGGTATGTGATTAGTACTACTTATGCCCGTGCATTATGCAGGATTAGCAGCATCAAAGGGAGGGGATATGGGAAATGCAGGTATGTGATTAGTACTACTTATGCCCGTGCATTATGCAGCATTAGCAGCATCAAAGGGAGGGGATATGGGAAATGCAGGTATGTGATTAGTACTACTTATGCCCGTGCATTATGCAGGATTAGCAGCATCAAAGGGAGGGGATATGGGAAATGCAAGTATGTGATTAGTACTACTTATGCCCGTGCATTATGCAGGATTAGCAGCATCAAAGGGAGGGGATATGGGAAATGCAGGTATGTGATTAGTACTGCTTATGCCCGTGCATTATGCAGGATTAGCAGCATCAGAGGGAGGGGATATGGGAAATGCAAGTATGTGATTAGTACTACTTATGCCCGTGCATTATGCAGGATTAGCAGCATCAGAGGGAGGGGATATGGGAAATGCAGGTATGTGATTAGTACTGCTTATGCCCGTGCATTATGCAGGATTAGCAGCATCAGAGGGAGGGGATATGGGAAATGCAGGTACGTGATTAGTACTGCTTATGCCCGTGCATTATGCAGGATTAGCAGCATCAGAGGGAGGGGATATGGGAAATGCAGGTACGTGATTAGTACTGCTTATGCCCGTGCATTATGCAGGATTAGCAGCATCAGAGGGAGGGGATATGGGAAATGCAGGTATGTGATTAGTACTGCTTATGCCCGTGCATTATGCAGGATTAGCAGCATCAGAGGGAGGGGATATGGGAAATGCAGGTACGTGATTAGTACTACATATGCCCGTGCATTATGCAGGATTAGCAGCATCAGAGGGAGGGGATATGGGAAATGCAGGTATGTGATTAGTACTACTTATGCCCGTGCATTATGCAGGATTAGCAGCATCAGAGGGAGGGGATATGGGAAATGCAGGTATGTGATTAGTACTACTTATGCCCGTGCATTATGCAGGATTAGCAGCATCAAAGGGAGGGGATATGGGAAATGCAGGTGTATGATTAGTACTACTTATGCCCGTGCATTATGCAGGATTAGCAGCATCAAAGGGAGGGGATATGGGAAATGCAGGTATGTGATTAGTACTACTTATGCCCGTGCATTATGCAGGATTAGCAGCATCAAAGGGAGGGGATATGGGAAATGCAGGTACGTGATTAGTACTGCTTATGCCCGTGCATTATGCAGGATTAGCAGCATCAGAGGGAGGGGATATGGGAAATGCAGGTACGTGATTAGTACTGCTTATGCCCGTGCATTATGCAGGATTAGCAGCATCAGAGGGAGGGGATATGGGAAATGCAGGTATGTGATTAGTACTGCTTATGCCCGTGCATTATGCAGGATTAGCAGCATCAGAGGGAGGGGATATGGGAAATGCAGGTACGTGATTAGTACTGCTTATGCCCGTGCATTATGCAGGATTAGCAGCATCAGAGGGAGGGGATATGGGAAATGCAGGTATGTGATTAGTACTACTTATGCCCGTGCATTATGCAGGATTAGCAGCATCAAAGGGAGGGGATATGGGAAATGCAGGTGTATGATTAGTACTACTTGTGCCCGTGCATTATGCAGGATTAGCAGCATCAAAGGGAGGGGATATGGGAAATGCAGGTATGTGATTAGTACTACTTATGCCCGTGCATTATGCAGGATTAGCAGCATCAAAGGGAGGGGATATGGGAAATGCAGGTATGTGATTAGTACTGCTTATGCCCGTGCATTATGCAGGATTAGCAGCATCAGAGGGAGGGGATATGGGAAATGCAGGTATGTGATTAGTACTGCTTATGCCCGTGCATTATGCAGGATTAGCAGCATCAGAGGGAGGGGATATGGGAAATGCAGGTACGTGATTAGTACTGCTTATGCCCGTGCATTATGCAGGATTAGCAGCATCAAAGGGAGGGGATATGGGAAATGCAGGTATGTGATTAGTACTGCTTATGCCCGTGCATTATGCAGGATTAGCAGCATCAAAGGGAGGGGATATGGGAAATGCAGGTATGTGATTAGTACTACTTATGCCCGTGCATTATGCAGGATTAGCAGCATCAAAGGGAGGGGATACGAGCTGAGTCCGCCGCTACTGCTGCTGTGTGGGGGTCTGTTGCCTAGGGGCACCCCCAGGGGCAGCTTGCCCCTCGTGCAGCGATGAGCCGGACACCTTTGAGAAGCCGGGTTCGAGCCCCGGGTCTGGGTGTCTCTTGCACTGCTGTGATCGGGGTTGTTGTTGTGGTGGTGGTGGTGATGATGGTGGTGGTGGTGGTGGTGATGATGGGGGTGGTAGTGGTGGTGATGGTGGTGATGATGGTGGTGGTGGTGATGGTGATGATGGGGGTGGTAGTGGTGGTGATGATTATGATGGTGGTGGTGGTGATGATGGTGGTGGTGGTGATGGTGGTGGTGATGATGGTGGTGGTAGTGGTGGTGATGATTATGATGGTGGTGGTGATGGTGGTGGTGATGATGGTGGTGGTGATGATTATGATGGTGGTGGTGGTGATGGTGGTGATGATGGTGGTGATGGTGGTGGTGGTGATGATGGTGGTGGTGATGATGATGATGATGGTGGTGGTGGTGGTGATGATGATGGTGGTGGTGGTGGTGATGATGATGATGATGGTGGTGGTGATGGTGGTGATGATGGTGGTGATGGTGGTGGTGATGATGGTGGTGGTAGTGGTGGTGATGATTATGATGGTGGTGATGATGGTGGTGGTGATGATTATGATGGTGGTGGTGGTGATGATGGTGGTGGTAGTGGTGGTGATGATTATGATGGTGGTGGTGGTGATGATGGTGGTGGTGGTGGTGGTGATGATGGTGGTGGTGATGGTGGTGATGATGGTGCTGGTGGTGGTGATGGTGATTATGATGGTGATTAGGATGGTGGTGGTGGTAATGATGATGATTATGATGGTGCTGGTGGTGGTGATGATGATGGTGGTGGTGGTGGTGGTGATGATGGTGGTGGTGGTGGTGGTGATGATGGTGGTGGTGATGGTGGTGATGATGGTGCTGGTGGTGGTGATGGTGATTATGATGGTGATTAGGATGGTGGTGGTGGTAATGATGATGATTATGATGGTGCTGGTGGTGGTGATGATGATGGTGCTGCTGCTGGTGATGATTATGATGATGATGCTGCTGGTGGTGATGATGATGATCATGGTGGTAATGATGATGGTGATTATGATGGTGATGATGATGGTGCTGGTGGTGATGATGCTGCTGGTGATGATGATGATCATGGTGGTGATGATGATGGTGATTATGATGATGATGATTATGATGGTGCTGGTGGTGATGATGCTGCTGGTGATGATGATGATGATCATGGTGGTGATGATGATGGTGATTATGATGATGATGATTATGATGATGATGGTGGTGATGCTGCTGCTGGTGATGATGGCACCACCTCACCGTGCAGCCCTTGCCGACCTCTCAGTGACCTCTCAGTGACCTCTCTCAACATCTCGCGCTGAGGAAGGAACGAGTGGCTGTGATAGGGTTGGGGGAGCTATTTAGAGAGCTGTAAAAGTGTGGGGGGGGCAATGGGGGGGCTCAGTGATTGATGATGGTTGAGGGGCAATGCGGAGAGGTTGGGGAAGGATGGTTGGGTGGGTGGGGGGGGGGGGTCGGGGTGGGTGGGGGGGGTCGGGGTGGGTGGGGGGGGTCGGGGTGGGTGGGGGAAATGAAATCTCTGCGCGCTTGACCAAGAACATCGCGACAGAGACGGACATGGAGATATGTTTGTGCAGGGATGTGGTGGTGGTATTAGTGTGAGTGGTGGTGTTGGTGGAGGTGGTGGTGTTGTTGGTGGTGGTGTTGTTGGTGGTGTTGTTGGTGATGGTGGAGGTGGTGGTGGGGGTGTTGGTTGTGGTGGTGGTGTTGGTGGTGGTGGTGTTGGCCCAGATCTTGGAGGTGGTGGTATTGGTGTTGGTGGTGATAGTGGAGGTGGTGGTGGCATTAGTGTTGGTGGTGGTGATGGTGGTGTTGGTGGTGGTGTTGGTGGTGGTGATGGTGGAGGAGGTGGTGGTATTAGTGTTGGTGGTGTT